GGAAACAAAACCAAAAACTGTTTTGCTGACCCAATACTTTTTTCCGCAGTTAAGGTGGGAGTTGTGTAGAGAGGTTGTGGCTTCTTGGTGATTTTTATTTAATACATTTTCTCTTTTTTGGTAACAGCATGGAGAGAAGTTTAGATTTTATAACGTACATATTAATATGGCGTCAAATTTGTTTTTTTTTTTTTTTAGTTTGTCATCTTTGTCATCTTCCATGCAAACTGTTTCTGACTTGGCTGCATTTATAGTGTCACTGAACTCAAACGTAATATCAGTCCCTCCCATATGGCAGTGAATACTAGACAATCACAGATAGAGAAGAGAATTGGTGTAACAGAAATGTGGTTCCACATAAGGATGCTGAGAATACCATGGACTTAACATGTGATCAATGATAAAAGGCAAGAGAGACAGTAAACAGCAAATAACCCACGTAACAAGCTTGCATAAATAGTTGGAAGTACTGGGATTAGGAGAGATAGCAAAAAGATAAACCTTACTAAGAACTACAATGACCAGGAATTTGTGGAGAGCCATAATCGCCCATGTCTGGAAGGGGTACTACACATTCCTGTCCACAAATCTAATGCATCTTTCAGATTCTTGAAAAAAATTAATTGGTGGGTCAACATAGCAAGTAGTCCAACAAATTTTTCTTTATTTTTTAAAATGCATTTGTGAAATCTTTTGACATTTTCATTGTTTATATTTTTATCAGGAAATAATATATTGAAATTTTTGTTTCTCTTCATAAAGTGATAAGATAAAAATTTTTTGAACTTTATTGGATCCTATGTCTTCTGACAGCTTTAAAATGTTTTCATCGTTTGTTTTTTCTGCTACCAATAAGCTTAGAAATATGATCAAACAAAATGTTCTCAACAGTAAGATGATAAACTACATTCAACAGCAAGGCCACTGATCAAGAGGTTTTGAGGAGCATGGAACCACCTCTTAATGGTGTTCCCAAGTCCACCCTGACCCAGAGTGGTAACACCTGTTAGGGTCCCAGCAATGGGCAAATAGTTAACTCCCAAACTGGGGGTCAAAACACATAAGAATAGGTTTTAATACCAGCAATATATTTTTTGTAAAAATATTACCAGCAATACATTTATGGAAAAAAATATTAGCAGCAATAAAAATCTTGTCAGCTTTAAATAACTCATTGAGGTCGATATGTCGTAAAACAAAGCATACTAAACTAAATCAAACTGTTCTCAAAGTCATATTTGTGAATACATTCACATAATCATTGAAAATTCTATGCTTTGATTGATCAATAACTGCATTTTCAATTAAATATGTCAATTTATTTCTAAACAGGCGAAACTTTAGATTATCCTATTCTTGACATTTTCAACACTTCAAGTCGGTCTTAAAATTTCTCTAAATGAAGTGATCTATAAATATCTGAGATAAACAGATCCAGTCATCAGCTGTCCAGACAGCTGAAAAGATTTATTGATTGTCAGTCATGAGTGAAACAACTCAGAACCACCAGAATGTCAAAGATGGATGAAACTAGTTTCATTCTTTCTCTAGGTTTTCCTATGCCATTAATTCAGATGACTAATAATGCATAAAATTGGTCGGCTGAAAGATATACTGTATATACTCATGTACCATGCTACTTTTGTAGACTTAATTTTGAAGCTAATCTGACTACAGTAAATGGATATATTGTTTGGTCAATGGCACAGCCAAGGCCATCAATACATAGACTAATTTTATATCTCTTGTTTGATGCAATCTCCCTTAAAATTATCTTCAAAATTAGATCTTCAAAAGTCGCATGATACACAAATATATACGATATATTATAATAAAAAGAAAGGACAGTAAAATATATAATCCAGTGTTCTTATTGGTATTTTTGTATTTTTATACAAAACAATGCTCAATGTAAATTTACAGAGCATAAATATTATAAATTAACTGATTTAAAATATGGTTTCTTTGCTACGCAGTAATAACCATGTTCAAAAACCGAAGCTAAAAACTTCAAATTTAATTATATAATTAAATTAAAAGCATTAGTTCTATTTTATCTTCAAGCGAATTTTGGAATAACTTATTTTTAAATTTACTGAGATTTAAAGGCACATAAAATTCATAATTTCTTTTTTTTCCAAGGATTCAGAGAAATCCAATCATTTAGTGGGCGGTAGCGTGTTCATTTTTATTAACTATTGTTGTATCAATTATGAGTTATGTTCAAAAAAGAGGTTAAGTTTAGGGAGAGTAGGGATACATTTTTCAATCAGTTTTGACATCCGTTAAATGCAAGTCATCTGTTTTTCTTTAATTATTAACGACAAAAAGTTTTTCGGCATTTTTTCCATTAAATTCGTACTTGTATACTTAAAGGTTCTTTCTAAAAGGGGTGTTTGGGTTAGAATAAGTCATATTTAACTACAATTTTAAAATATTATTTTTATTCTTAATTATTAATATACTATATTTCTTTTTAAATCAAGTAAATGTAATAGGATTACTTAAATTATTTAAAAATTATTATTACATATCAAATATAAGTATGTATATTACAAGCTCTCATTTTTTTTTTTATTTTATTTTTAAATATTTTTAAATATTATTTAAGGAAAATTTTTGACAATGTCGGCAAAGAATAGCAATTTCATTTCTTTGATTCAGTAAATTTTTATTTTTTATAAACTTAGTAATATATAGTTTCTTATGTATGCACAATAAAGGACATGGGTCATTTCATGACCTACATATTGCAGCTTTTTTCTTATTAATTTCTATTTTACTGTAGGTGTTTTATTGGTTTCATTTAAGTGCCAGCAATATTTCGAAAGGGATGTCTGATTTTTTGTATTTATTTATCCTAAATAAAGTTTGATATTGATTGAACCTCTTTTTGAACTCATGGCTTGTGCAACCTATAAAGATTTTTGTTTTCAGGATTCTCAATAGATGAGATATTGCATTGGTATACTAATGATTCCATGCCACATTTATTTTGTAGAGGACAGTTATGAGGATTTCTACAGTTAGATAATTTTTGTTTATCTTCATCTCTTTTTATTTTTATATTGTCGAAATTTCTTTGGTTTCAGTCTAAGTGTTTATTCAAGATATTACCATTAAGTTTCTTAATATTTTTTCTAAGTTTTCAGTACAGCTGTTACTGAATTTTAGTGTATTTTTATTGAAAATAGTACTAAGTTTACTATCTTTAGGAAAATGCTTAACAATTAATGCAAGGAATTTTTGTCCTAATTCTTTCTTTACCATTTGGTTATATCGGAGGTATACCAAATTATTTCTAATGCTTTTAATTTAATTAAATAATTAAATTTGAAATTTTTATCTTCGTTTTTTGAAACCTGGTTATTACTGTGTAGCAAAGAAATCATATTTTAAATCAGTTAATTTATAATATAATTTATATATATATATATAGGTTTTTTGACATTTGATATTGAGTATGTTAGCTCTATCACTGATATTGAGCGCTTTCCAATAAGTACTATGCATATATAATATATATATACATACATGCATATACTTATATATATATATATATATATCCAAGTATATGATTGGTGTATACGGAATAAATTCCAATAACCAACAATATTCTTAAGAGTGCTCAATACAGAGGAGAGCGAATATAATTATTTAAAAATTATAACATAAATATGTTATAAAATCACTATAAAAATAGCTATTTCGTTTCAACACTGCTGATGTTTTATCGAGTGATGATGTTGAATGTAGATTGTAGAATAGAATATACATGTGTGTGTGTGTGTGTGTGTGTATATATATATATATATATATGTGTGTGTATGCATATTGCTGCCATATATGGTCTGGAGCCCCTTCTGTTTGTCTCAAGGTCCTTGATAAAATCCAGAGGGGGATATGCAATGTAATTGGCCCTGATCTGGCATCTCATCTGCATTCACTCTCTCACAGATGTTCCGTCGCCTACCACTGTCTTTTTTACAAATATTTTCATGGTAATTGCTCTGATGAGCTGCTTTCATGAATTTAAGCGTTCAACTAGGCTGGCATCTCACTCTCACCCTTTCACTGTTGAAACTGTTAAATGTAGCCGTCTCTTCTACTCCAATAGCTTCATGTCTCACAATTCTCGCCTGTGGAACTCCCTCTCCTTTTCTTGTTTCCCTGATATCTATTCAAATGTAATATCAATCGACATCTCCAGATGCCTTGATCTATCCCCTATCCTTCTCTTCATCCTTTCATCCATCACTTCTCTTTGTTCTTGCTCCAACTCTCTGTAACCCCTTGCATGCTAGTGGCTTCCTACCTTGCTTTGGGTGAAACACTTAAATATATATATATATATATATAAGTGTAATACTCACTTGAATAGTAATCTGAAGAGTATATATATATATATATATATATATATATATTTATTTACTATTCAGATTACTATTTGAGTGAGTATTATCAAGCAAGTACTATTAGTGTGAATGATATTCGAAAACATCTGAAACCATTATTGTTCAATAGCATACTATAGTTGTAATCTGTGATTACAAAGTCTCTACTACAATGAGTATTCATTATCCCAAAACATTTATAATAAAATGACCAGCAATACATTTCATAGTAAAATTACCAATACATTTCATTTGTAATTGAAGGCATACAATTGGTTCAAAATATATTTAGTTGAAGCCATAACATTGTTCAAGATATTTAAATTTCAGCATTAAATAACCATAGAGATCTTGATGTGCTGCTAAAAAAAATTCAACCAACCAAAGCACAATGCTGCTCCATTATTTTTTCTTTCTTTGTCTTAACAGGAGAGGAGTGAATCCCAAGCAGGCGTTCCAACTGGAGGACCCATTGCCGGAGTCGCACCTTCTGGCGGTGGCTATTTGGCAGATGCCATTTCTTTATCAAGTAATGACAGTACCAATGATTCAATGACAGTTGAAGAAAACAAACTTCGAGGATACTGGAATCGTCGGCTTGATTTTATGCTTTCATGCCTTGGTTATGTCATTGGTCTTGGAAATGTCTGGCGCTTTCCTTATTTAGTTCATAGAAACGGTGGAGGTAAGTCAGCTGTTTTTGCTTTGAGCTTCAAACCTGCACAGATAAAATCTGCATGGGGTTCTAATTTCATAAGGTTTAACAATGGCAAATACAGATATGCAAAGCATTTAAGACTATTCCTTAACAAATATCTTCTTGCAAAGCATTTCTAATGATTTTATGAGATAAAAAAAACACTGCAAATAAATTATTAGAAAATAAAACAGCTGAAAAACAATGTTGATTTTAACCCAGGCACAGTAAATGCATTCAGGTGGGTAGTAGTAACATTGTGCTTGGGAAGACAGAGAAAATATCTTGATCTTCTCTACTCTCCAAGGCCCAATAGAGGCATTAGTGTATCCATGATACTCTAAAACAATGGTTCTCAAACTTTTTGAAGTCAGGATGCACTTGAAATCCTACCAATAATTGTAGGTGCACTATATACAAATTTCAGAAAAATATGTTATAATGAAGTCAAATATTGCAGAAAAGAAATAAAGCAATAAAAAAAATATAAAATGAAACATAAGTTTATTCATTCTTGTGTTTATGAGGAACATGAGTCTGATGAGTCTTAGTGTTTTCCTCAATGTTTGGGAGTATATTTGATAGGAAAACTCTCATTTCCTCATCAATACATTGAAGAGTTCCTCTCTTTTTGCACTTAATTGTGGTAAGAGCAGAACAGCCTAATTTGCATAGATATGAATGAGACGCCTACCGAAATATAATAAAGTAAGTATATTTATTTCCTATATCTGGAGACATATTTCCCTGGAATTCCAGGGTACACTTAGACATCTTTCAGGGTGCACCAGTGCACCATTTGAGAACCACTGCTCTAAAGCCATAACAATATGGAAGCAAGGAATTACAATAATGCAAAAAGATGAACACCAAAATTGAGTTAAACATGAAAACATTTTATATGCAAAAATATGAATATTCATATATGTCATACTAGATATGCAGTATGTGTGTATTTTGATTCTTTGTAAAAATAATAATAATTTCCTATATCATAATTTGATGAACTTTTGTTAAGAAATAATGAAGAAGGGTTTAATTCCGTTTATTTTTTTAAAAATGTCACCTCCAACACAAAATTTCTAAAATTACAGTGGGGGAATGCTTGTACTTACATAATTCTCAATAAAATCTGAGGGACACTTTGTCATGTCATCATCTGTACTCTTTTATCACCAGCTGACAATGTGTTGCACACTTTTGGTAGCTTTCCTTCACAGCGTGCACAAGGGTAAATTAATTGTTTTATCAATGGTGTAAGAAAAAAATAAGAAACACAGAAGACAAAAGAAAAGAATAACAGCATCAATTTCTTGTCCAAAATGACAAGGCTTCACCAGGCACCTGATACAAAAACTGACAATGGAGTAATTGAGTTTAAATACAGCTCCAGGGTTGAACCACTTTTGACCTGCGCAGATGCCAACTCTTGTGCTGCTGATTTAAATGCAATTAGCTTCTAAACAGAGCACTTGATGGATTTTGTATATACGGATTGAGTATCCTTTGTCCAAAATTCAAATGTCTTTCAGGTGTTGACATGACTTGCCACAAATAGAAAATTTCAGAAAGCACTTGGAAGGTTCCTAGATGATGTGCATCTGTTGTAAGTGACCTCATCTGCCCAGCTACGTAGCCTACATTGGCGCCAGTTTTTTGTTAGCGATCATCACAGCCACACCTTCGTTTATTGATTACTTCCCGGCTGTTTCATGATCAGTAAATATATTTAATGCAGAGAGCATGAGCACATGTACACAAGCCAGGTCAAAAAATAGCCCAACACCTGCAACTATCGGTTACGCTAGCATCAGTATTATTACCAATTCCCACCTTATTAGTGCAGTCAGGAAAGTACTCCCACAGGAGTCTGTTCCCCGAGTCCAGCAACTTTCAATAATATTTTCAGCTGCACCCTTTTTGAAGACACAGTTGAGAGATAAGAATGTAGTTTGTCAGCCTGAAGTCAGATTCAGGTAGAGTATTCTTTATCTGAAATTCCAAAATTTGCATACTTCCAAAATCCGAAAGTTTTTCAGATGCTGACATGACTTTCCACAAATGGAAAATTTCAGAAAGCACTGGGAAGGTTCCTAGATTGTGCTGCTGTTGTATGTGACCTCATCTGCCCTGAGCCAGGGTTCCCCAGCCCAGCTACATAGCCTATATTGGTGCCAGTTTTTTGTTAGCGATCGTCATAGCCACACCTTCCTACGTGGATTATTTCCCAGGTGTTTCATGCTCAGTAAAGATATATTCAAAATGCCAAAAGCTTCTGCAGATACCCATATGAATAATGAAAGGAAAAAAAGAAAGCATTTATGCTTATCAATATCAGAAAAAGTCAGACTGTTGAAAAAAACTAGACAGTGGTGTAAGTGTGAAGTATCTGACTGAGAAGTTTCTGTCGGAACAACCACCATATGTGACCTAAGGTAAGAGAAGGAATAATTGTTAAAGTTTTTTTATGCTGAAAGTGATAACCTGAGATTAATGAAAAATAGAAAAACACTGCACAGAGCTAAAAAGGATCTCGTGTATCAATGGAGTGGATGTATAAGTGTTGAAGTGAAAATATCAGTGGCGGCATCCGTCCGTCTTGAAAGTAGATGGAGTAGGGTGGGATATATGGAGAACTAGGGATGCCCGGACGTCTAGTTCTCCCTCTCAGCCTTGCTAGCAGAGTCCAGAGAGGATAAACCAATACAGTTTAGTACCAGCGCGGCTGCAGGAGTTGCCAGAAGGTAGCACAAAGTGCCGTCCATCTGCCTTAGGGCTCCACTCCGGGTTTGAATTCAGAATTGTCCTTCTCCCAGACCAGTTGCCATCCAAGGCTATTGAACCCAGTCTGTCCTGCTATTTACCCATAGCTGGAGGGAGAAAAAGAGGATTCCCAGTGAACATATGCTGCTTATATAAAAGTACCTTCAAGGTATATGTTTAAGCTGTGGTATGAATTGCAAAGAGATATTGTGTTTATGCTTTGGTTCCATTTGCAAGCTGCCCCATTTTATAGACGCTATATGTATCCAAATTAAATAGCCTATATTCCAAAATCCCAAAAATCTGAACATTGAGGTACTTCCAGTCCCAAGAATTTCGGATAAAGGATTCTCAACCCATATATCTCAAATATGTGGTGCAGTTCAATTCATATTACATGAATCATTCATACAAAAAGTAGATTAGTAAAGTTAATGATATAAATGGCAAAAAAATCTTCACAACCAAATTTATTAAAGTTACATTAACCTACGAACCACTCAATGAATGTTATGATCCTTGTTTTTAATAACTTCGAGTTGTATAAGGTCTTTTTTTATTCTGCTAGTACTTTCGACTGTACATTCAGCCATCCTCAAGCATTTTTTTATTAGATCCAGGGAATAGCAGACTCGAAAAAAATTAAATGTGAATTGAAATATGTTTTTGTTAGAAATGTGTTATTGTTAAAGAATAGAATTTTTTGGAGCGTGCATTGGCAACGCTAAGGTTGAATTTTTTTTTAAATTTAAGAGTGCGTTTTTTTTTACTAATATGGTAATTTGAGAACTTTAATTTAATAAATTTGTTTGCGAAGATGTTTTTCGCCATTTATATCATTAAGTTTACTAATCTTATTTTTGTATGAATGATTCATGTATATATATATATATATATATATATATATATATATATATATATATATATATAGTGTAACCTGGATATAAGAGAGGTTTCTCTGGTCCCAAATTAGAGCCTGTGTTAATGTATATAAAATAGACCAAACCCGGATATAAGAGACTTCACCTCTGGTCCGACAACTCTCTTATATCAAGGTTACACTATATATATATATATATATATATATATAGGGTTAGGTAAATAAAATAACTAGATATTAGCATTTGCATACTTTTTTTAAATAAACAATGAGCTATATCTTGTACCTGATGAGTTGGGTAACCAACAAAACTTAAGTCGCACACCAAACATAGGTATATGTGTATTTACATATATATATATATATATATATATATATATATATATATATATATATATATAGTGTGTGTGTGTTTGCATTTAGTAGCATATCTTCATTCAAGCATGTTTGGTTGAATAATGTAGACATATTGTCTTTTTATTTTAATCCTCTCAAGTTCACAAATCAATTTTTTTTAGTGTGTGCACAAAATTGATCAAGAAAAAAGCCATAATTATCCATATTATAAGTACTAATACATTCCTCACTGATCCCAGTAAAAAAATTAAGTTAATTATATACTACACTAAATTTAATACAACCAACTTAATCATCCACAATAACTCTTCTTCGTCAACTAGCATTTTGCAAAAGACCAACATCGTATATCAATTTAGATGTCCTTTGGGAGATTTTAACTCTGACAAAAATGTAAATATGTCCTAACTATTACAAAATAGCTATTATACGAAATTTAATAAACTGTGCAAAAGCAAATTCTTCAATGAAGATTTTGTACACTGAATTACAAAACATTAAACAAACTCTTATTAATAATGACTTTCCTAATTACATTGTTGATGAACAAATTACACAAGCTATTAGAAATATTAACATAAATCAAAAAGAAAATATATCTTCAAATAAAACTTGTCAATCTACTATACCCGTTGAATACATTCTAACCATAAACAAGATGAAAAAATTTTAAAACTTGTAAGTACTAATATATCGCCACTGACCCCAGTAAAAAAAAAAAGTAAATAAAACTAATTATATACTACACTAAATTTAATACAGCCAAATTAATCACCCACAATAACTCTTCTCCATCAACTAGCATTTTGCAAAAGACCAACATTGTATATCAAATTAAATGTCCTTTGGGAGATTTTAACTCTGATAAAAATGTAAGTATACATGTTAGTTTTGCTACTACGGCTATGTCAAGGAGACTTACATTTCACTTGAATGATTATAGTTCAATCTCCCAACATTTAAAGGAACATTCCTGTCCATATTCACTATTTAGACAGATATTAATTGACAATGCAACTATACTCCGCCATGAAATAATAAACATAAGCGTCAAATTCTGGAAGCCCTTTATATAAGAAAATCATGGCCAAAAATTAATAAAGTCAATTATAAGTATAGCAACAAAGTTCTAAAATGTTTATAACAACAAAGTTTTTAAAAATATCTAAATTGTTTAAAACTGCAATTAAAAATATTTTTAAAAACACATAACTATAATTCTAATAAGAATTGCATAATTCAGTTACCTCCCTTACATAGCAATTGAAACATTTTCAAATTTTACAGCATTCATAGTCACATATTCATAACTTACATTCATTTTTTGTCTTAGAAATTCAATTCCTGAAAATGATCTTGGATGTGATTAAAAGTACTTGGGAAATATGGGTAGCTTTTTTCTTGATCAATTTTCTATAGATACTAAAAAATTGATTTATAAACTTGAAAGTATTAAAATAAAGTAAATAGACATAATATTTCTAGATTATTAATCCCAAAATACACACACTTACATACATATTGTTATGGTGACCTACCTACAGTAGAATGAATTCTTCCTCCTTCATAAATACTAACCTGCAAGACTTCCTGTGTGTGTAGCTGAGATGCAGTGTAACCTGGATAGTTCAGATGGACACTTCTATCTGCTGACTAATAACACTCTTACTTTGTATATATCTGTTATTTCAATACTCTTGTTCAACTTAACTTTCTTTCCATGTCTTTCTTTATGGCCCCTAACAGGCCACAACACACACACACACACACATGTATATATATGTATATTTTGATGGATTTTGTTCTTTTGTTATTGTAATATCTTTTTCCCTAAAATTATACATAAGTGTTATATGCAGGTAAATTTGGTAATTTTTATGTATGGAAGTATAAAAGGATCATTTTAACAGAATATAAAGTCAATTTAATTTAGTAGTAAATTCATGCTTTAAAGAATCAGGTGAATCTTTTTTCTTATTTTATTTTAGGTGCTTTTTTCATTCCATACATCATCATGCTGGTTTTTTGCGGTATCCCCCTTGCATACATGGAATTAGCATATGGACAATATGGTAGCCTCGGTCCAATTACAGTGTGGAAAGCAGTACCATTTTTCAAAGGTATGTTTCTTATAACATTTTATAACATTAATTCTTAGATGATGATGCTGACTGAACTTGTGGAAATTCCATGGGTGTTAATAACAAAATTTATCTATTCTCATGTCTCTGCTCTTCTCTCATCCTTTATTTATATCTTCTCATTCTCTCCCTTATCCCTTCCAATATGATGAAGATTATCAATTTTCTTCCACTTTAGCTCTTCTCTCATTCTTTGCCTGTATCTTCTCATTCTCTCCCTTATCCCTTCCAATATGATGAAGATTATCAATTTTCTTCCACTTTAGCTCTTTTCTCATTCTTTGCCTGTATCTTCTCTTTCTCTCCCTTATCCCTTCCAATATGATGAAGATTATCAATTTTTTCTTTAGCTCATCTCTCAGTATCTTCTCATTCTCTCCTTATTTTTTGCCTTTGCTCTTTCTCATTCTTTGCCTGTATCTCATTCTCTCCCTTATCCCTTCCAATATGATGAAGATTATCAATTTTTTCTTCTCATCTCTTTCTTTGCCTGTTCTCATTTCATTCTTTGCCTGTATCAATTTTTCTCTTTCTCATTCTTTGCCTGTATCCCATTATCCCTTCCCAATATATTTGAAGATTATCAATTTTCTTCCACTTTAGCTCTTCTCTCATTCTTTGCCTGTATCTTCTCTTTCTCTCCCTTATCCCTTCCAATATGATGAAGATTATCAATTTTCTTCCACTTTAGCTCTTCTCTCATTCTTTGCCTGTATCTTCTCTTTCTCTCCCTTATCCCTTCCAATATGATGAAGATTATCAATTTTCAACTTTTCATCTTCCTTTGCCTGTATCTTCTATTCTCATCTCCAATCATTATCAATTTTCTTCCCTTTAGCTCTTCTCTCATTCTTTGCCTACCCTCTCCCTTATCCCTTCCAATATGATGAAGATTATCAATTTTCTTCCACTTTAGCTCTTCTCTCATTCTTTGCCTGTATCTTCTCTTTCTCTCCCTTATCCCTTCCAATATGATGAAGATTATCAATTTTCTTCCACTTTAGCTCTTCTCTCATTCTTTCATCTTTCTCTTGCCAATATGATGTATTTTCTTCTTTTCTTCTCTCATTTCTTTGCCTGTATCTTCTCTTTCTCTCCTTATTCCAATATGATGAAGATTATCAATTTTCTTCCACTTTAGCTTCTCTCAATTTTGCCTTTATCCCAATATGATGACGATTATCAATTTTCTTCTTTTCTCTCATTCTTTGCCTGTATCTTCTCTTTCTCTCCCTTATCCCTTTCAATATGATGACAATTTTCTTATCAATTTTCTTTTCCTGTATCTTCTTTACTCTCTCTTTCTTCAATATGATCATTTCAATTTTTGCCTGTATCTTCTCATTCCCTCTCTTATCCCCACCAATCGAATATATTATTTTATCTAAATGCTACACCAATATGGATTAGTTTTTATATTAGAAAAATACAAATATTTTGTACTGTGTCTTCTATTTTTATCTTTCTTTTGCGCTGTCAACTCATGAAGAATTTTAATCTGTTGTAATTGTTATGCTTTTCTCTTCCTACTTGCATTTCAATCTTTTGTTCATTGCCTCTTGATATTCAGTCAGCAAACAATCACTCTCTCTTTTTTGTCTCCAATCTTTTCTCTCTTTCTCTTTTTTATTTTTTAGAAAAGGAGAATCCACACAGAACATTCTTATTCCAACCACACTTTTTATCAAATAGTCAAATTGATTTCTTAAGATACTTGACAAAAACTGAAGAAAAATCTGCAATGTTATCAATCCTGACTTGGCATCTCAGCTTCACTCACTTTCCTATTGCTGTAGTGTAGCTTCCCCATACCTGTTCAACAAATATTTTCATAGCAACTGTTCCAATGATCTTTTTTCTTTGGTGCATCAAATTCACAAATTTAAGCACAGTACTAAATTGGCAGCTAGGTCTCATTATTTTACTGTTGAAATTTCTAGATGTAACTCAAACTTCTAATAGATTCTTCTCCTGTTCTTCTTGCTTGTGGAACTCTCTCCCAGCCTCTTGCTTTCCAGTCAACTGTGATCTTCAAAAATTTAAATGCAATGTCAATCGCCATTTTCTGTGTCTCTGAATTCTGTCCTTTTCATGTCTTCTCTATTTTTATATATATATATATATATATATATTGGAAAAAAACATTCATGAAAATATAATGTTTTGAAAAAATATCTGATAATGGATTTCACCCATCTCGGGCTTCATCAGATCGCTTTTTCCAATTGTCATTTCATGTATAACTCTGTCAGGATCATTTACCCAAATTCTTAAAATATTGTCGATATGGAGAACACATGGATAACAAACATCTTTCCTTTATTTTCTACACATTCTGATGGATTTCTATCTTTAAACTCGAACACTTAAAACAAAGAACATAAAATATTAAACAACTGCTTAAAATAAGCCATTCATTTGTTTTTTCTTTTTCTTTTTTTTTTGTAGTCCCGAGCAATGCTAGCTTGGTAAAAATATATGATCACATTATTTTAAATCAATTCTCTCTTTTGTCTTTGATTTGATGATGCCCAAAATGGGCGAAGTGCATTATCGGGTATTTTTTCACATTAAACTTTCATGAACATTTTTTTTTCCAATTGTCATTTAATGTAAAACTCTGTTGGGATCATTTACCCAAATTCTTAACAAACACACACACACACACACACACACATATATATATATGATAGAAATTATTAGGAGGATTTAAGATAATTATAATTAAGTAATTCATTAAGTCTAGAAGAAACCTTAAGAGAATGCAGAAAGCACTGGACAGCCAATTTGTCCTATATTTGGGACTCATCAGCAGTGCGCATCCACTACCGAGAATTGAAACCCAGACAGTAACGTTATCAGGCAAACTTCATACCAACTGTTCAAACGGGGCTCGGTGATGGAGAAGTAGTGAATTAGACTTGATATATCGCTGCTTGATCACATATTCTGTAGTGGAACTCAGCTGACTTTCTTGTTACTCATAGGACTGTGCCCCCACGAGCCATGACTACTATTGATGGCACATCATATCAACTGTACAAACGGGCCTCGGTGATGAAGAGGTAGTAAATTAGACTCGATATAGCGATGGGATTGAATAAAAAAAGATCCTTAACAAAGGACACTCATTGCTCATTTGTAATCAGACTTATATGTAGAAAATCAGAAGCGATATAAATGAAAAAAAGACCAAGAGAAACAGGTTTAATGGTTGGATATCAAGAGACAGTGTGTAAAAGACTGAATGGCAGGAAGAATAAAAATTGCAAGACATTAAAATCCTTTATGTTGAGGTAGAGCAAAAGAAACATAAAAGAGACGACATAGAGAAAATATGTGTCCATGCCTTATATATTTCTTGTTTCTAGAATTGTGCCAGATAATGTCTTGCCAAATTCCAGATGCCACATAATAAAAATTCCATCATACACCTTTGACCAACTAGATATATATCTTTGGAATTTTTAAGCATGATAGACTGTTAGAAGTTGATATGAAGCTGCTATTAAATTAAAATTAATTGCAGCCCTGTACCTATAAAAACACTGAAAAATAGGAAGGAATTACTTCTGTTACTATAGGGTATGATACTCAACACTCAAGGGATACAAGATTTTGCTCCCATTGGATACTTCATTTTTATGTGTGCCATGTCTCTTCAGGATGTAAGTGATCATGGCTCTCTGCATATTCTTGTCCATTGTAGGTCTTAATAAGTTTCTCTTAAACCCAATTCTACCATTTATTTACACAAGAGCATCAAGTATGTTACATGCTGCTTTTTTCTGTCCTGTGAGTATCAGAATTTCCAAGCCTTCCTTCCTTCCTCATTAAATACCCCCAAAATTTCAGCTGCCTCTTTTACATGAGATCATCAAGTATCTTCCTGATGTTAAGTATAAGTTTCCTATTTGTTTCCATTTTCTCCAAAACTTCATTGTTGCTCACAAGATACATTTGTATTAATCAAATTTAAGTTTAATTCTTATTGATTGCTTTAACAAAATGTAATTCACCTCCCTGCTAAATGATAAGCAAAGTATATATATATATATATATATATATATATATAATCAATGTAGGGCATTATGTATATTTTTTAATATATATATATATATATATATATATATATATGTATACTGTATATATATTATATATATTTAGGCATGTGGCCAAGTGGTTAAAACGTTTGCATTCTGAACATGAGATCCGGGTTTGAATCTCTCCATGGTCGATTTGTCAGGATGGAGACTTCCTGATGTTATCAGACTGGAGGGGTCAATCCCAGTGTGTGAAACCTTTGGAAAGTGCCTGAAAGCCATACCACGGGTTGATCCAAGCCTTGTGAGTGAGATTGGTTAAACAGAACCCTTGGGGGCAGTCAATAGCTCTGTTAGCACAAAGTCACAATTCATCATGGCTGAGGGCTTGCATGTGCTGGACTTGTTCAAATTGTTGATCACTCTAGATAACACGCTCTTTCCCAGAAAATGTAACTAAGTTCTGCTCAGCATAGTTGCACTATAAACCACAGTTACACATTATGGGTATTGAGCAAACACAAATGTTCCTGAGTGAGCGTCTGCAATAGGGAAAACTAATATATTTTATATATTTATTTTATCTGCGACTTTTTTTCTTTTACTGCTTTAATTAAATTATCAGTAATGTCAGCATAATGATCTTAATAAAGAAAAACAAACCTAGCATCACTTCTGTCAACTGTTACAGGACAGATGTGGCCCATTGGGCCGAGGGTTGCCAACCTCCGAGTTACTACATGGCTGAATGGTAGATTTATAAATGTGTAACATTGATTCTGGTGAGAAAAATTGGCTTAACACTGGATTCAATCATTTAGATGACTACACACTTTCCTTCCAAACATTGCTATAAAAAATGAAAATGGGCTACAATCATGTGAATAAATCAGTAATAAAGATGAGGATCTTCCCAAAATCTGAACACTGCTTATTTGGCATATAACAGTTTTTCCTTTCGCTCTGAACCTTGTAAATAGTTTTTTTTTTTCCTTTTTCTCTGAACCCAACAGCTATTGTTTAATTCACCAGGTATTGGCTATGGAATGGTACTACTCTCTGGACTGATTGCTATTTATTACACTATGGTTACCGCATGGGCTTTTCATTTTCTTTTCTCATCAATGACCGCATCATTGCCATGGAGAAGTTGTACAAATACATGGAATACAAAATGTAAGTAGAAACTATTTTTGTTCTGATTATTTTAACCTAAGCTAAATACTTTTTTTGCAATGTGATGATCAATATGTTCACAGTTTCATTAAATGACACATTAACCTGTGAGATAGTATGGTGCTTGTGTGACCAATATATGAATTTTTTTTATTTTTATTGGAGATGCAATTCATAAACAACATTGTTTTTATATCAAAGTGATATTTTAGATCCTGAGTTATTGGCAATTATTAGATTAGATGCTTTAAACTTTTCATAGTAAATTATACAAAAATCTATGACAAAGTGGGAAAAAATATTTGCCTTTTTGGAACTCAGCAGATGAAAGTAATATTTACATTGATGTGATTATATATATGCATGAAAAGGAGGAGGTGTGGAAATTTATTTATTTTTTTTTTTTACTTTGTCCAGTGATATAAAATATCATCAATCTTAGGTTTTTATTGAAATTATTAAGTGATATATGCTGTTTTTACCTATAAACATACTTATAACCATAAAAAAAATATTTACTCAATAGAAAATAAGTAAATCTATTGTAGTTTATAAACTTCCTTTTTTTTTAATTTTCTTCTGCTGAACAGATATTTTTTATATAATCATAGGTACGTTTATTTTAACAGATTGTGACATCTATCAGAGAGATGAAATTTAAATTTTTATTATTGCATTATTCCAAAATTTTAACATATCAACAGATATCTATTAATGTCAACAATTACACAAATAGTTGTTAATTAAAAAAATTAGTAATTAATGGATAATATTATCCATTCCTACATATACAAGGATATTGTTTTTGATAAAAGTTAAAAAATGAGCATAAATATGTAAAAATGCATATATTGTCGAAAATTCCTTTTTCCATAATATAGCTATGTTATAATGCTTGTTAACTAAACAATAATACTGAATAATTTTTTTTAAACATTAAAGTATATTTAATCACACTTCCCTAATAGCTATCATGATCTGTAAATACAAAATTAAAAATATTAATCCTTGTTTATTTTAAATATAAAATATAAATCCCATTTATTTTAAATACAAAAGTTTTTTTGTTTTTTTTTTACAAACAGTAATCCCCCATGTAATATAGGGCAAATTGGTACCTGAGGAAAAATCTGGAAGTAAAAAAAAAAAAAAAAGAAAGAACTAAAAACATCAAAACAAGGTGAAACAAATCATTAAGTGTCTTCTTAAGTCTTTATTTATTAATATATAATTAATATCTCTGTTATTTTACATCAAGCACCAGCACTCAACACATTATTCATATATATATATATATATATATATATATATATATTTATTAAAGTAGAAAATATATTTATTCGGTAGACAAGGTCGAATTTACTGCTTATAAACTTCAATCTTCCATGAATCTCGTACATTCATAACTGCTCTGGCGTATCAAATGTAAACAAATGACGTCATATATTAAGAAATGGACAGGTGACAATTTATTTATTAAAACATTTTTATATTTAACGTTGTTATTTATAGATACAAGTATTTAAGCAAATGCTCTGTTTATGATAAATGTATTTAATAACATTTACCGGCCTAAACAGAAATTTTCTAGAAAATATTTGTTCTTTGAAAATTTCTCGGACATTAAGGCCAACGTTAAACTATTTAAAAATGTCTTTAATAAATAAATTGTCGGACCTTGTCCATTTCTTTATATATATATATAACCTATAGAACATTTCCATCTTGAAAAACATAATTTTAAAAGCCATGCCAAATTCAGTAAAGTACATAAACAATAACATTAGAAAAATTTTAGAGGACCATGAAGACAAATGGATTTACAAAAACACTCAAAACACTTGACAGGCCTAATCACAAATTTAACATAGATAGAATTAATATATAACCCCATAAATCAAGCCCTATCCACATTTCTCCCTCACACAAGACAGACATGCTTGTGAAGGTGTTGAGGTCTCACACTTATACACACACCCATACTAGTATATACACTTACACACATCATACACACTCCCGAAGAACTAAATGATAATATACACTTAACACATACACATCCCCTTCCCAGGAACCAATAAAATCCACTTGAATGAGGCTGTTTTACCAACACAAGGACTGACCAAAATTAATAATAAAAAAAACAAATGAAAACTAGAGATAAAGTTCATTTTCTTCAGAAAGTCATTCATTTCTGTAGTTCACTTCTACTAACAAGCAGAAATTTTATTTCTCCTGATGATGGCCATGCTGGCCGAAACTAGTCAAGGAATCAACTTGAAATAATAAAACAAAAAAACATTAATATACAACCCAGTGTGTTTGATAATTTTAATTTTTTAATTTCTCAATATTTTTTATTGTTCAAAACATATATTTATTTATTGTTAAATATAACAGACAACAAATGTTTGTTTGATCATGAGCCATTCTAAACTTCATAGAGTTGCTTTAATTTCAGGAGAAAATAAAGACAAAAATTGTCCAAAATTTGGATATTTTTTTTATTATACTGTACTTTGATCTAAGCTTTTGGCTCACATGAGCTACAAACTATTCATGACACATAACATTGCATCTAGTCATGGTTCTGTTGTTAATATTTTGTTCACTCACGTGGTACGACGTCATAGAACCGCATCAGGAATTTACGACCTGCATTTGCTATTCTGTGACTGTTATCATCACATATCAATCTTCTATGTCAACATAATAAGATATCATCTTTGATGGTGAATATCTTTGTTTAGATGTCTGTATAAACACTCTGAAGATGGCTTATACGAGCCGAAAGCTTAGATCAAGAAACAACATAATAAAAAAAATATCCAAATGTTGGACAATTTTTGTCTTTATTTTCTCCCGAAATTAAAGCAAATATACAATGTTTAGAATGGCTCACACACACACACACACATATATATATATATATATATATATGCACACAAATACACATGAAAAATTCTTGTCCTGACTCACTTCACAAAATCTGACCCAAATAAGTCAAAATTAGATGTTTATGAAAGGGCTTCTTCTTCAAAACAACAACTTTTCAGCATCCACTTCAGTGCCTCCCTCAATTAAAGTTAACCTAACTTTGTCAAAGGTCATGACTATTTGTGCAATTTGGGTGGCCAAATATCTGTGGTAAGTAGTCATTCAAAACAATTCCCAGGTAACAACGTGTCATTTGAAACAAGCAAATAGTCTTTACTATAAATTAAGTGCAAGGTGTAATTGCAACAGGTGTTTTGGTATTCTTAATTTCAATGGCAGTCAGCAAGGAAATTCCATTCATTCATAAGATTTCAAAACATAGTTTCTCATTGATATTTACGAAGATTAGCTGAGTACATCGAATAAAAGGCTGAATAGGAGGAGGAAGATTGTGTTGCTCCAGTCTTTTAAATGAAAAAGGAATGCTTCCTTGAAAATTGGCATTCCAACTTCTTACTATTTACATAGGCTTAAGCACCAGCCTCTGGCATTGGGAGGAAAGATGTAACTAGAAGCAGCTGCATCTAAAATGAACATTTATTCATTTTCTGCTGCATCAATTCTGTGCAGTGTTTATAACAGCTGCACTCTGTCAGATTTTATATATATATATATATATATATAAATAATCATACATAGAATCAATCAGCAATATTAATGCGATTAATAGTAAAATCACTTCGCTCGTAGAAACATAATGTATGCATTAAAATACTGTTAATCCATTGAATGATGTGATCCTCATTTATAAAACTGTTGTCAGGTGTTTCTAGTGTATATATTTTTAAGTTAAGCAAGTACTTTTGAAGAATCATTCTTTCATTTGTCAGGCTGTAATTTTTAACTTTAAAGTTAAAACTTGAAGACGAAATAATTGTTTGTAGACCAAAAGATGTTTTTATAAGAGTGTGCTATTTATTGACGGTTGTACAATCTTGGAATGTGCTAGTCGCAATGCTAAAGTTCAAAATTTAAAGTGAAAATTTTTATATGAATTTTGTAATATGGTAAATCCACGAATTCTTTTTTTTCAAGTGTTTTTCAGTTAACATAACATGAACTAAGTATATAGTTCAATTAATATAGTGATATGTCTTAGTAGTTTTTTTCTCAGGAATTTTGTACTGCAGATCAATTGTTTTTTATAAATATATTAAATTAGGCAGCATATATTTTATATATAAAGAAACAATCATACATAGAATCAATCAGCAATATTAATGCAATTAATGGCGAAATCACTTCACTAGTAGAAACATAATGTATGTATTAAAATACTGTTAATCCATTGAATGATTATATATATATATATATATATATATATATATATATATATATAACTTTAAAAATCAGGAGGTCAGATATTATACAAGTCAATAGATCATTACGCATGCACACAAAAAGAAATGAAGCTAACACCAATAAATCGGACATAAATTATTTTCAACTGAGTATAAAAATAACAAAAATGAGAAAATCTACAGTCAATTACTGATACCTCCTGACAAGTGAACTGAATGATTAAAAAAAGTTTTGTCTATGAAACTCTGGTGTTGGGCTGCTGAATATAACATCAATCAGCTTAGTGACAAAATTTATAGTTGTATTAATCCTGTATATACATATGCTTTACCAGTTTGTGACTGGAAGGGATAATTCTAATGATGATATAAATCTAAGGAGAGCTCAATGTAGACTACAGAGCATTATAATGATAATAAGAAGATGGCGACTTTAATTATCCATTTTGTTTATAATTTTTATTTTGTGAACACCGAGATGTTCATCTCATCAGAACGAAATATCTCTACTGACTTCTGCCAAAAACAAATGCTCAAGTTTTACAATATTAACACTGAATTTCATTTAGATTAATATCCATTGAATTAAATAAATTTGAATCAACCTGATTTATCCTGCATAAAACAACAAACAGTATTGGCAAAAGTAACATACAAACTAATATTAAAATCTGTCAGATATATATATATATATATATATATATA